CAATACCCTTGCTGATGGAAGGAGGTTTTCACTCAAAATCTCACGATACATGGCCCCATTCATTCTTTCCTTTACACGGATCAATCGTCCTGGTCCCTTTGCAGAAAAACAGCCCCAAAGCATGATGTTTCCACCCCCATGCTTCACAGTAGGTATGGTGTTCTTTGGATGCAACTCAGCATTCTTTGTCCTCCAAACACGACGAGTTGAGTTTTTACCAAAAAGTTATATTTTGGTTTCATCTGACCATATGACATTCTCCCAATCCTCTTCTGGATCATCCAAATACACTCTAGCAAACTTCAGATGGGCCTGGACATGTACTGGCTTAAGCAGGGGGACACGTCTGGCACTGCAGGATTTGAGTCCCTGGCGGCGTAGTGTGTTACTGATGGTAGGCTTTGTTACTTTGGTCCCAGCTCTCTGCAGGTCATTCACTAGGTCCCCCCGTGTGGTTCTGGGATTTTTGCTCACCGTTCTTGTGATCATTTTGACCCCACGGGGTGAGTTCTTGCGTGGAGCCCCAGATCGAGGGAGATTATCAGTGGTCTTGTATGTCTTCCATTTCCTAATAATTGCTCCCACAGTTGATTTCTTCAAACCAATCTGCTTACCTATTGCAGATTCAGTCTTCCCAGCCTGGTGCAGGTCTACAATTTTGTTTCTGGTGTCCTTTGACAGCTCTTTGGTCTTGGCCATAGTGGAGTTTGGAGTGTGACTGTTTGAGGTTGTGGACAGGTGTCTTTTATACTGATAACAAGTTCAAACAGGTGCCATTAATACAGGTAACGAGTGGAGGACAGAGGAGCCTCTTAAAGAAGAAGTTACAAGTCTGTGAGAGACAGAAATATAAATCTTGCTTGTTTGTAGGTGACCAAATACTTATTTTCCACCATAATTTGCAAACAAATTCATAAAAAAATCCTACAATGTGATTTTCTGGAGAAAAAAAATCTAAATTTGTCTGTCATAGTTGACGTGTACCTATGATGAAAATTACAGGCTTCTCTCATCTTTTTAAGTGGGAGAACTTGCACAATTGGTGGCTGACTAAATACTTTTTTCCCCCCACTGTATGTAAGAATTTTGTTCATTGACTATAGCTCAGCATTCAACACCATAGTACCCTCCAAGCTCATCATTAAGCTCGAGGCCCTGGGTCTGAATCCCGCCCTGTGCAACTGGGTCCTGGACTTTCTGACGGGCTGCCCCCAGGTGGTGAAGGTAGGAAACAACACCTCCACTTCGCTGATCCTCAACACTGGGGCCCCACAAGGGTGCGTGCTCAGCCACACCCTGTAATCCCTGTTCACCCATGACTGTGTGGCCAAGCACGCCTCCAACTCAATCATCAAGTTTGCAGACGACACAACAGTAGTAGGCTTGATTACCAACAATGACGAGACAGCCTACAGGGAGGAGGTGAGGGCTGTGGGAGTGTGGTGCCAGGAAAATAACCTCTCACTCAACGTCAACAAAGGAGATGATCGTGGACTTCAGGAAACAGAAGAGGGAGTACCCCCCTATCCACATCAACAGGACCGCAGTGGAGAAGGTAGAAAGCTTCAAGTTCCTTGGCGTACACATCACTGACAAATTGAAATGGTCCACCCACACAGACAGTGTGGTGAAGAAGGCGCAACAGCGTATCTTCAACCTCAGAAGGCTGAAGGAATTTGTCTTGGCACCTAAAACCCTCACAAACTTTTACAGATGCACAATTGAGAGCATCCTGTCGGGCTGTATCACCGTTTGGTACGGCAACTGCACCGCCCGCAACCGCAGGGCTCTCCAGAGAGTGGTGCGGTCTGCCCATAGCATCACCGGTGGCAAACTACCAGCCCTCCAGGACACCTACAACACCCGATGTCACAGGAAGGCCAAAAATATCAATAAAGAACAACAACCCCCAGAGCCACTGCCTGTTCACCCCGCTATCATCCAGAAGACGAGTTCAGTACAGGTGCATCAATGCTGGGACCGAGAGACTGAAAAACAGCTTCTATCTCAAGGCCATCAGACTGTTAAATAGCCTTCACTAGCACATTAGAGGCTGCTGCCTACATACACTACCGGTCAAACGTTTTAGATCACCTACTCATTCAAGGGTTTTTCTTTATTTTTTACTATCTTCTACATTGTAGAATAATAGTGAAGACATCAAAACTATTAAATAACACATGGTCAAATTGCTGCAAAGAAACTACTACTAAAGGACACCAATAAGAAGAAGAGCCTTGCTTGGGCCAAGAAACACGAGCAATGGACAATAGACCGGTGGAAATTTGTCCTCAAACCACTGTGTCTTTGTGAGATGCGGTGTGGGTGAACGGATGATCTCCACATGTGTATTTCCCACCATAAAGCATGGAGGAGGAAAAGCAGCCAACAAGTGCTCAGCATATGTGGGAACTTTTGGAAAAGCATTTCAGGTGAAGCTGGTTGAGAGAATGCCAAGAGTGTGCAAAGCTGTCATCAAGGCAAAGGGTGGCTGTTTGAAGAATCTCAAATATAACATATATTTTGATTTGTTTAACACTTTCTTTGGTTTCTACATGATTCCATATGTGTTATTTCATAGTTTTGATGTCTTCACTATTATTCTACAATGTAGAAAATAGTAAAAATAAAGATAAACCCCTGAATGAGTAGGTGTTCTAAAACTTTTGACCGGTAGTTTACATAGATTTGAAATCACTGGCCACTTCAAAAAATGAACACTAGTCACTTTAATAATGTTTACATATCTTGCATTACTCATCTCATATGTATATACTGTATTATATACTATTCTACTGTATCTTAGTCTATGCTGCTCTGACATTGCTCGTCCATATATTTATTTATATATTCTTAATTCCGTTGCTTTACTTAGATTTGTGTGTATTGGGTATATGTTGTGAAGTAGTTAGATATTACTTGTTAGATATACTGCACTGTCGGAGCTAGAAGCACAAGCATTTCACTACACCCGCAATAACATCTGCTAAACACGTGTATGTGACCAATAAAATGTGATTTGATTTGATGTATTTGTAAGACCTCGGAAATGTCTTCTGAAATGGTTGAAGTTTAGTTTCTTAGGCCTCTAGGAAGAAAGGTAATAATTTAAACATACAGTAAATGCAGTGGTGTAGTGCAATTTTGTATTTTTTATGATGTCAATTTCTCAATCAAAGTTTGTACCAACAGATGTAGCCTATGCATAAAATGCATCCTCCAATTGCAAGGTCTTCCTATGCCCACCCATATTGTCGGAAGGACATTTAGGCATACCTAATTTCATAATAGGCCATCACTGTCAATCATGAATGATAATATCTGGAAGTGAAATTCAAAGATTGTATGAGTGAAAGCAGGTTAGAGCGTCTTGAGAAATCTTTGACATTTCCACACGTTGCATAACTGGGAATTCCGTTGCTCATCCAGTTCTGTAAGATCCATCACAGCAAAGACCCAGTCTGCGTCCTAAATGCCACCCTATTTCCCATATAGTGCATTACTTTTTTCCCCCTATAGGCCCTAGTCAAAAGTAGTGCACTATATAGGGAATAGGGTGACATTTCAAACACACCCCAGATAGTTATACCTTGGGAGGGTTCTGTGATGTAGTCAACATTCTAATCCCATATGTTTCATACAGTTTACAGGGCTGATTAGGATTGATTTACTGTTGCGCCACTTTCTTCATTGAGAGTCCAATAGTTATTCTTTCCAGGTGAAACTTTAGTGAGTCAAACACAATATGCTAGAATAATACTCGTTTTGTGGTATATTATTGAACATACCGACCAGATATTGAGCATCGCTCCACAGGAAGCTCCCATATTATACACACATTCCTGATATTTGAGTGAATTGGGGAGATTCCCCGAACGGGTCCCGACAATGTCTGAAACCTGTTATTGGCAAGGATATAGGCTACTATGGTAGTAGCTAGTTGGACAGAGTCCAAGAGTCTGCCGGTCTGTACTGGAAATCTATCCGGTTGGCAGATTGCGGTCTATGTTCTAGCTTCTTGTGACATCACATCAAGTATTTCTTAAAGGAAGTGGGGTAATAATATAATACGTTTCTTGTTTCTTCACAATACCATGATTTCTCACATCTGAAAGTCCACGAAATGTAAGCAGGCTTTGACATCGCAGAATATTGGATTGACAATATTAGGAAATTATAGAATAGAACCAAAACTTTGATGTCAAAGGGAAACATAGAACCTCAGACATCTTTAGAAATGGTTGAACTTTAGTTTTCTAGGCCTTTAGGAAGAAAGGTAATGATTTAAACATACAGTATATTGTATTAGCACCAACATTTGCATTACATTACATGTTAGTCATTTAGCAGTGGCTCTCATCCAGAGAGACTGACAGTCAGTGCATTCATCTAAGTTTAGTAGGAAAAAACAACCACTTTCATTTCAAGTATAGACCCTTCTTAGAAAATAACCATTATCAGCACTTTAAGCGTAGCATAATGTATGAAAAGTCCTTTACAAATGAAGTTATAATATACGTTTATATTATAAGTTATATTATAACAGACAGATGTATATTTGCCAAATCGTAACTCATTTTACTTAGTGTTGACATGAACAATATTTAATATTTTGTTCATTCAGTAATATTGAGATCTGAAATATAATTTCTAAGGGAATCGTGGCCAAGAAAGGCATGAAAACACACATAAATGCCTTGAATAAAGTATATTGGCAATATTACAATACAATTACTCTATCAACAGGAAGGTGGCAATAACAATTACAAATGTGTATGTAACCCCACCCCACCCCACCCCACCCCCCCACCTGTGTCCTGTTAAGTGTGAGCCCAGTATTTCATCACCAACATCATTAAACCATACCTTGTCACTCATTGCTCTGGTAAGACTAAACCAACCCACTTCCTGCCGTGTGCGTAGATGGGAATTCCTGGAGAGTGTGCCCAGGATGTATATAAGACATGCAGGTTACCACATGTAGTCACAAACATTGGTTCAGAGAACAAGTTGGGACTCACAGCAAGGACTAAGGACTAAAAACAAGACGTTAGTACCTACTATCTACAAACTAACAAAACAACCAACTACAAACCTACTCCTCCAGGTAAATGAAACGCAGAGTTTGTTTTTATTCACGTTTGCAACCATAAACTTACTCCTACTCTATGGCTGACCATGTATAATGTTGTTGACCTGTTGTGGCAGTCTTTATTGCTATATATTTTAGTAATAACACATCGTTAAATGTTTATTTAGACCTAACTGTATATTGATTGCCTGTTTACACCAGATCTGAATGAGCTTTCCGATCTTGACCATCTTTAAGCAACTGACTAAGCATGATACAATCTATGATGGACAGGACAGTTTTAAAAGATGATGTTTTTATTTTCCAGATCTAACTACACAGACAATATGGAATTTGAATCAAACTGCTGTCTAATGAAGGTGAGTCCCAGCATAGACATGAGGACAAGATAGACCCACAATATTCGGCCATGACAGACATTCAAATGTTATTATACAGTAAATGTTAAAACAGAATTTAAAAAAACTGACCAACCACAATTCTCCATACACTGTATACGATACACAATGTTAGAGTAATGTTAAATCCCCTTTCTGTGTCCTGGTCAGAACACCTCTGACAGTGTAGCATGGAGCTCCAAGCTTCCCCATGGTCTGGATGTGGAGATATCCCATCACCCCAGCACCCTGCGCTGTGTGGTCAACCTCATCATCGCCATGGAGAGGATAAATGGTGGCAAGGCGGTTACCCTGGGAACCGAATTCAGGGATGAGGACCTGTTCAACTTCTTGATAGAGAGCGCAATGGAAGGTAGGTCAAAGATCACTGGACTGGATTGGAGGCGTCCCTATGGGGCTATCCTGGTCCCATATCTGATTGTACTGTCTTGCTTCTGTTGACAATGACCATAGGAGTTGGCAAGACAGCACAAACAGATCTGGGGATTTCCAATGTGTACCACTACAATACCATTAGCTATCACCCCTGGGCTATGTTCCAATGTTCACACTATAGAATACCACTTAGAATGCATGCCCAACACATTGCTTAATTCTAACTGGCATACTAGTAGTGTGGATATCTTCACACAGCTCATGGATTAGTAGTATTGGAATTCAATCAAGTGTATTCATTCAACCATTCACTAAATCCTTTCCTCTCTCTCTCTCTCTCTCCTCATCAGAACACACAGTGATAGAGTTGGAGTCGACGCCCACAGAGCGAGGTGACGCCAGCAGGAGCGTTTCAGGGTTCAGCAGTACAGGAGATTATGAGTGTAGTGTCACTGACTCTGAGAATAAGTGCTGGGTGCTGAACAGTGGGTCTATGGAGCTGCATGCCTATCATGCTGCAGGGAGGCAGTAGCTACCATAAAGGTATGTTAACAACCAAGGCTCAGTCCCAAATTGCATTATTCCCTACATAGTGCACTACTTTTGGCCAAAGACTATGAGTGTATTCTTTGGCGACCATAGATAATTCAATTAATTAAATTCCAATTTGCCCGACCCCTTTCCTTGGGGCACTAGGCAGTGGCACTTCCTATGAATCTGAAAGAATTGGAAAGGTTTAGGTACATATGAGGAATATGTGATTCAGTGGAGGGGTTAAAACCAGTAGCTTTCTATTAATACGACTCTGAGACTGACAGATAGGTAGCGTACTTAGTTCACAGTTGAGTTCTGATGAATGATGCTGACTGACTCTCTTCTCCTCTCCTCTGTCCACAGTGCATTTGAACCTGTCTACATACGTGACGCTCGTCCCCAGTGACACTGAAGCCAGACCTGTCGCCCTTGGCATCAAGGGATCTAACCTCTACCTGTCCTGCCAAACATCAGATGGCACGCCCACCCTGCGGCTGGAGGTAAATAGCAGTACTGCTGGTGAAAATACTACTAGGCTACTCCATGTGGAATGTAAGAGGTTGAGTTGCAGTGTAATGAAATGAAACTGCCAGATAGGTCAAGGGAGACCAACCCTGGTTAAATGTGACTGGGAATGGGATACAGCGAGGATGACTGTTAGTCCTGGAGAGCTACAGGGTGTCGACTTGTTCCAAACAATGAGGTGTTTATTATATACGTCATTGGTTCCAACAGCCACAACCTCAAACCAATAGCCAGAGTAACATTTCTATCCACTCCTGGTGTATGACATTTGACCTTTAAGTCAGTTTTGAGTCAGACCATTGAGTTTAACCCCTGACCATCTCTCTTTCTCCAGGAGGTGGTGGACAAGGAGCAGCTGAAGTCCATCAACCGTCAGAGTGACATGGTGCGTTTCCTCTTCTACAGACGGGAAACCGGAGTTGACGCGAGTACCCTGGAGTCTGCCCAGTTCAGGAACTGGTTCATCAGCACGGCCCTACAGCAGGACAACACCAAGCCGGTGGAAATGTGCCAGAGGGCAACCCCCAACCGCTTCACCACCTTCACCATCCAGCGCCACATCTAGGGTGGCTGCCGACACTGACACCACACCAGTCAGGGCCTCTCATAGAGATCCTATATAATTCAATATGGATTCTATATGTGATTCTATGGGGCCTCTGTGGTCAGGACTGGGTTGCCACTGTGTTTACGTCTAAAGGTTAGGTGTATGTTTGTAAGACACAATAACTACTTCACGTTGTATGCATGCATGTACTGTATGTATGTATGTACTGAGTACAGCAATTCATCATTGGGATGTATAGATTTGGTCAAGGTTTACCACAAGATGGCGCCGTTGGGTCAGATTATTGTAAGCGCCCCTGCTATTTATTGTAACGTATTTATTGGTGAAAGCCAAAACGAACGTATTACTTACTGTAATTACATTTCTACTAATCATAATATTGTTATACTATTTATTCATGTATTTATATTTCAGTGATTATACTTATTTATTTGTCAATCTGTTGATGTTGCACTTATTCATTCATGCAAACATTTGAATTGTCCAATGCGCTCTTTTTAATAAATATTCAAATGAATATTAATATTCTCTGTCATCGATTATTATGGTTGGCTACTGTAATAACATGGTCATTGGCAGAACAATGTAAAGAATCAGACAACATGCATCAAATACCAGAACCACAACAACTCATCAATCAAAAAAATATGAGAGATATACCTAAATCATACCATTAATAATGGTGTAAAGTAAAGTAAAACTATTTAAATAGTTTTTTGGGGTATCTGTACTTCACTAATGATATTTTTGACAAATTTCTTTTTACTCCATACATTTTCCCTGACACCCAAAAGTACTTACATTTTGAGTACTTAGCAGGACTGGAAAATGGTCCAATTCACGCACTTATCAAGGGAACATTCCTGGTCATCCCTACTGCCTCTGATCTGGCGGACTCACTGAACACACATGATTCATTTGTAAATTATGTCTGATTGTTGGAGTGTGCCCATGGCTATCAGGAAATTTAAAAAATACTAGAAAATAGTGTCCTCTGGTTTGCTTAATATAAGACATTTTTAATTATTTATACTTTTAATACTTAAGTATATTTTAGCAATTAACTTTACTTTTGATACTTAAGTATATTTAAGACCAAATACTTTTAGACTTTTACTCAAGTAATATTTTACTGGGTGACTCTCACTTTTACTTGAGTTATTTTCTATTAAGGTATCTTTACTTTTACTGAAGTATGACAATTGGGTACTTTTTCCATCAGAATAATATGTTAATGTATTTTTTTTTTTATGTATTCATGTATTACATTTTACGTAAATTAATGAATTCAGTAGGCATAACACCTTTTATGTTTACAATCCACTCTTCCAATCAGCGTTGGAGTAGTGTTCCTGAGTTTAAGGTGGCAGTGACGAAAAGAGCAACAGATAATTTATCTGTTTACACAATGGAGTTGTTTGCCCTACTATTGGCTGCAGAGTGGCTGGAGGAGGTGTGGCCAGACAGGGTAGTCTCCTGGGCAGCATTGATGAGTTTAAATTAATTTGTGTCTCAGAGCAGACAGGATGTATTGTATGAAGTTTTGCAGGGCTTGTATAGGGTGAAACAGATGAGGGTATTTGTGATGTTCCTCTGGGTACCAGCTCATGTGTGAGTAGAGGGGAATGAGGAGGTGGATGTTATCGCCAAGCAGGCTGCTGACATCCTAATGTTGAGTTTGAATTGTCAAGCAGTCAAGCAGAAGCCAAGGGGTTAATAAGAACAGTGGTTAAAAATAAGTGGCAAGAGTTGTGGAACAGGGAGAGAAAGGGAAGACACCTGTATAAGATCCAGGAAAAGGTGGGGGCAGGGAGGTCCTCAGGCCGAGAGAGAAGGGAGAAAAGTGTAGTCACAAGGCTCAATAGTAAGTTGAAACTGGTGGGGAAACATCCGACTGGTAGGTGTGATCATTGTCAGGAGGGGATGGAGACAGTGGAACATGTTATATTTCAGTACCAGAAATATGTGAGGGAAAGGGAGCGATTGTTATTAGATTTGGGGAGTAATGTGGTTGAAGAGCCAGGATTAAGTGAAATCCTGGGGAAATCTTCAGGGGATGTAGTATTTAATTATGTATTTCGTTTCTTTAGGGAGACGAGATTATTAGGTAGGATTTAGACCAGGGGTGTCAAACGTCCGGCCCGTGGGCCGCATCAGGCCCGCAAACGGGTTTAATCCGGCCCGTGAGATGATTTTGTAAAGTATAAAAATGCGCTGCAATTTTTCAATAAAATAAACTGTTGTTCCAATTGCGTCCACTCGATGGCGCAATAGCAATTGTGTTAAGCAAGAAAACTGTTTATACCGGGGCAGAGCAAGTAGGTCAAGCACATGCAGCCAGTCCGGATGAGCTACTTTGTTTTGCCCGCGATATTTATTACGGCTTTTACTTTTAACATTATGTGCTTTGGCACCCTCATTGCCCCAATATGTCTCTGTCAAAAAAGAGAAAAGTGGATGCAGAGTGCAGAGTGTTCCAAGAAAAATGGTCATCCTCCTATTTATTCACGGAATTGAATGGGAAAGCTGTATGTTTGGTGTGTTCACAGCATGTTGAAGTGCTGAAAGAATATAACCTTCGTCGCCACTATGTGAGTCTTCATGCCGACAAATATGACAACTTTCAAGGACGGCGGAGAAGAGAGAAGGTGAATGAACTGTTGGCGGGTCTGAAGAAACAGCAGTCTGTGTTTACTCACAGCCGAGACATCAGTGATGCTGCAGTGAAAGCTAGCTACCTCATTGCTAATGAAATCGCAATGGCTTCAAAACCATTTAGTGAGGGTGAATTTGTAAAAACATGCATGATGAAGGCAGCAGAGATTGTGTGCCCTGAAAAGCGTCAGGCTTTTGTAAATATCAGTCTGACAAGAAACACAGTTGCAGACAGGATTTCCGATCTTTCAGTGGATTTGGACAGCCAGTTGAAGCAAAAAGTAAAGTCATTTATTGCGTTTTCGGTTGCAATTGATGAAAGCACGGACATTACAGATGTTGCACAACTGGCCATTTTCATCCGCGGAGTTGATGACACATTGACCGTCACCAAGGAGTTTGTGGAGTTGGTGCCGATGACAGATACAACGACAGCAGCTGATATTTTCACCGCACTCGTCGGCGTGCTGGACAGGGTCGGAGTGGACTGGTCCCGCGCTGTCACCCTGGCTACAGATGGTGCGCCCTCAATGATCGGGAAAAAAGCAGGCGTTGTGACAAAGTTCAGAGAGAAAGTGCAATCTCCAAATGGAGGACGTGATTTTTTGACTTTTCACTGTATTTTGCACCAGGAGGCTTTGTGTTGCAAGTCATTAAAGATGGATAACGTCATGAAGGTGGTCATCCAAACTGTTAATTTCATCCGATCCAGAAGCCTGAATCACCGTCAGTTTGACAGCCTTCTCAGAGAGAAAGACCACATCTATGGCCTGCCATACCACACTGAGCTAAGATGGTTAAGCCGAGGTGCTGTGCTGAGGCGTTTCTTTGATTTACGAGAAGAAATTGAACAGTTCATGGAAGAAAAGGGCAAACCAGTGTTAGAATTTCATTCCGCAGAATGGATGCAGGACCTTGCATTTATGGTGGATGTTACAGAGCACCTGAATAACTTGAACAAACAGCTGCAAGGGCGCAACAAAGTTGTCACGCAGTATTATGACAGCATACGTTCTTTCAAGTTGAAGCTGTCATTGTGGGAGACGCAACTCGCCGGTGGTGATGCAGCTCACTTACCCTGTCTGAAAAATGTGTGCGTGACCCAACATGTGGCAGACATGAAGCGGTTCAAAGATAAAATAACGGGACTGTTACGGGAGTTTGAGCAACGCTTTCAGATTTTTGGTGAACTGGAGAAAGACTTCAACGTTTTTTGCTCGCCATTCACCGTGAATCCCTCTGATCTGCCCGTCAGCATCCAACTTCAAATAATAGACTTGCAGTGTGACTCGGATTTGAAGGGCAAATTTGCCGCAGCTGGCTTGGACACATTTTATCAGAATCTCTTGCCAGGTTACCCCAACTTGACAGCCCTCGCTGCAAAACTGTTGTGCCTGTTTGGAACCACATATCTTTGTGAGCAAGTTTTCTCTGTAATGAGCATAAATAAAACAAAGCTGCGCTCAAGGCTCACGCACAAGCACTTGAATCACATCCTGAAGTTGGCTGCCACTCAGGATGTGACGCCTGATATTGATGCGCTGGTGAAAGCTAAAAGATGCCAGGTATCAGGAGTCAAATAAACTATGCAAACCCACTTAAAGTGCTGCATGAGACACCCTGATATAGTTATGTGATCTGTGATATACTTCTATGAATCACTGAGGCATTGTGTGTTTGTGTGTTCTTTGTCCTCAGAACTGTCAAATAACTTGAGGTGTTTTATGATTAATAGTGATGTTGTGCTTTTGGACACAATGTCCTCAGGCTCCAGCTTTATATTTATATGCTTTTATGTGATGTGCTATTGTTTTTAATTTATTTTATTTTATTTGTATATTTAACCTATTCTTGACTCTGTGGTTCTTGCACTAGTTTGGGGAACAGGATTTCATTATTTTTATCTACATTTCTGCCTGAGAAATGACACCCTGATATAGATCTGTGAAACAGTTCTGTTAATCACTGAGGCATTGTGGGTTTGTGTGTTCTTTTTCTTTAGAATTTTCAAATAAACTTGAGGTGTTTTATGATTAATAGTGATGTTGTGCTTGTACTATTTTGGACACACTGTCCTCAGGCTCCAGCTTTATGTTTTATGTTGATCGTATTAAAACAAAGAAAACAATCTGAAGTTGTTGTTTTTAAGTTATATATATACCATGATTTTTCCGGTCCGGCCCACTTGGGAATAGATTTTCCTCCATGTGGCCCCTGAGCTAAAATGAGTTTGACACCCCTGATTTAGACCTTCACTGTCTCTGGTCCACACTCCAGCCCAGTTGGTGGCGGTATTCACCTTAAAGTTGGTTGCCAACCGCCATATAAAATCCACAGAAGAAGAAGAAGCGTTGGAGTAGCTGTCTGGGTGGGGGGTGTTTTTTCAAATATTTGAACGATCCAATAGGAGAAGAGTGGCGTTACCCAGGCAATTTCGAATTTGATGATTGAAGTCGGTTTGTTTATGTTAACTAGCTAGCAAACCATAACTTTTATTCCAACAAAATAGCGAATAACTTAGCTAGCTACACTAACATAACATGTCTCAAGTGAATGGATTACAAACAGCAATGGTCGGGGAAGAAATTGTTGCCCAACTCAACAGAAAAGGTAAGGTGTAGTTGACGTTAACTAACTTAGCTAATATTCCACTAGTTAACAATGCATGATAGTAGGCCTCTTGAGTTTACTAGCTAGTTATAGTTAACGACGTTAGTCATATTGCAATGTAAACAATATTTTGTTTTATATTTATCGTTCGGTCAAGCTACAGTGGAAAGACGAGATATAGGCTAGGCCTAGGGTACACACTAACGTTCGCTTCGGGGGCAACTTCTGGACTCTTGGGACATTGGGCTGTATTATTGACCCCCTAAACTAGTAACTTAGCTAGGTAGTTAGCTACAACCATCATCCTGTTACAACAACAATGTTGCTTCTTGTCTTTCACAGAATTGCGCAAGCAGCAGTTGATGAAGTACTTGGCAGCAAAAGGAAGACTGAAGCCACCCAACCCAAAGTAAGAAATCATCATGGCTTGACGGCTATCTTCTTGGCCATTATATAGCCTATAAAATGATTAAATAATTCAAGGTTTATACAAATGTAAATTCAATAGAATTCAGTCAGAAAAACAATAGCCCATATGTCTCTACCATACATGGTTAAAAAGTTACCGACGATTTACTCTGAGAATTGAGCATGTTTAGAGTTAATGGAATTGTCATCAGAGGCATGATGAAAAACTGGTCACTGCTCAATAGAACTCTGAGGCGCTGCTCCGCCGCAGAACGTCAACTGACAAACTGTCTAGTGGCTGCAGTGAAAACATGGTCTTTTTCTAAATGAAATCCGCTGAATACAAAACTAAATAGGGCAAAATATTGCTTTACAAAGCTAAGACTGAATTGCAATATCCACCCTCCGGGAAGACAATCTGTTCCTGTTTTCATTGTGTATTTCTGAGTCTTTCCCTTTAAATCGCCATAGAAACGGCCCCTCTCAAAGTAGATCGCTCGCTGGCAATGAAAGCCAAGGAGCTGGAGGTGAAACATCTCCAAATGATACCATCTCACAACACCTTAAATGAAAGAGATACAACCAAGAGCGGCGCAGTTTAAACTAGCAACGGTCACAGCAAATTAACTTTCTTATTTCATCAACACTGTCAAGTACAAGTCTATTAAGGTTATAATATTTTAGAGAACAATCTAATGATTAATTCTATGTAATTTATAATGACATAGGGCAAAGAACGACGTTTTCACGTTAATTTCGTAGCACCCTCTTGAATTGCCTCGTTTTTCTCTACATACCCGCAGCGAGTGAAAGCCCAACCATATAAAGTAACTGGCATTAGTGCCAGTATTTCAGCTTGAAATGTCTTATCCATAGACTTTTGTAAATAATGTCTTATCACACATGACTAATTTTCAGACCATATCTTCGAGATGACATTAAAGCAAAGAAGATCACCATGTCTACAGTGAAGGACGATGTAAGTACTGTAGCTAATCCCTTTCCTCTCCTCCTTGACAAGAACTCTCTCAAAGCAAGCCTGGCAGTTTGCTCACTCAATTATATAGTGAGGCTTGAATTATAATAGGTACCGTGTGGCTCAGTTGGTAGAGCATGGCGCTTGCAATGCCAGGGTTGTTGGTTTGATTCTCAACGGGGACCATTATGGATTTTTTTCCCACGGAAATGTATGCTCTCACTACTGGATAAGAGTGTCTGCTAAATGACAAATATAAAATGATAATTAACTGACACGTTGAGGTCTGTGTACTGTTCATGCAAAGCAGGAAAGAGTTACTAACTATATCAACTGATGTTTTGTAATTACAGCTGGCCCAGGGAAAAGAGAACCAGGGTCCAAATGCCCTCAAGATGAAAAAGGAAGCCGTGAAGGTTCAACCTCTTTCCCAAACCACTGGCACCCTCTGCAGTACCACCAAAAAACAGAGCTCCACCAACGGTAACACTCTGCGTCTCCTCTCTGCAGCATCGGTTACTGCACGTCTCAACGTGCTCAAAGGCATGACAAAGACTTCTGCGGTTGCCCCATGTCACTCAGCCAGCCTGAAGACTGCTCCAGCCAGATCACAATCCACTGTCCCTACCAAAAGATGCCCAGGCACCACCAACCATCTCAGAACCCAGCCTAATCCAGCTGTTAAAATCTGCAACACACGCCCTAGCTCAGCCAAACCCCTGGCAAACGCTGGTAGAACACGTTCAGTCAGCACAACCAGACCAAAGCCAAATACTACTGGGAAACCCGCTAACACACTCTGCACAGCTAGCACACGGCCCATTACAGCTAGCACACGGCCCATTACAGCTAGCACACGGCCCATTACAGCTAGCACACGGCCCATTACAGCTAGCACACGGCCCATTACAGCTAGCACACGGCCCATTACAGCTAGCACACGGCCCATTACAGCTAGCACACGGCCCATTACAGCTAGCACACGGCCCAACACAGCTAGCACACGGCCCAACACAGCTAGCACACGGCCCAACACAGCTGGCAGTGCCAGAATGAGTCTGAGCAGAATGGTTAAATCCAAGACCGGCCTTGTGTCTGTCCAGGTGCAGCCTAGAAGCACCACGGTCCCTGCTCCAGCTTCAGCCCCCTTCACCCCCTCTGTCCTGAACAGAGCATGCCCAAGCACCATCCCAGTCCCAGCTCTGACCCAAAAGCCACCAGATACTACTCAGAGGAGAACGACTGATTCCAGACCACTCCCAGGGAGATCCAGTAAACCAGCAGGGCAGAGACAACCTGTCACTGGACCTAAACCCACCATCCAAGGCCCCTGCTGGTCCTGGTCCCAAGACTGCAGCTACGAAGCCAGGCGATAGGAGGACAACCGAAACCTCTGGCAGAGTTTCCATCCAAGAGGTTGAGCGTATTCAGAGGGCTCCATCACAGCACAGGGCCGAGGCTAGAGGAGCAGGACCCAACACTCAGATATGGAAGCCTGCCTCTCGAGCCTCCACCGGGATAACAGGAAACCAATGGCAGGCCAAGGCTCTGCGTAGGGCCATGCATGCAGCTGTGGCTGAGATGGGACAGAAAAGCAGCGGCGAGGAAAACCGAGGCAGGGTGGAGAGCAGGAGGGCAGACACTGACACCAAGAATGAACCCAATGCTCCATCGCCCTCATCAGCATCACCAGCGTGTTGGCCTAGGCCTAACAGGAGCACAGTGAATGGTGTGTGGATCCCCCAGATGGTGCCTCGCTCTGCCAGAGTGTCCAGCCATGGCCAGGAGGAGGTGGGGTGGGAGGCTGGTGTTGGCCTGAAGACACCCAGAGACCAGGCCAGGGTCGTGCCCAAGACAGAGGGCCGCAGGAAGATGACAGCTGCCCAGGAGGAGAGGATGTCAGTTTGTTTTTTATTGTAAATTAGATCATTACTAGGAAGTAGAATACAGTACATTGACATGTTTGTGATTTAGCAGACAATCTTATACAGAACAACTTGAAATCTTAACATGTTCACCTCTAGACTGGTTGAATAAGGCCTTGGCTTACACAGTGCACATAAATACTTTGAATTTTGTTTGTTGAAATAACAAAATAAGATCAAGATAACGTTGTCATTTCACTCCAGTAAAAGGTATGTATGTGTGTTGGTATCGTAGCGTATGAATGTGCTGGCCCTTTTCCATTATACCACCATATTCTTTCCACCCAGCACCTCGTCATTCAATATAGTGTGGTTGAATTGGACTACAAACATCTGACTTTACCCCAAAATGTTACTGAACAACCTTCTATTCGACTCTGTGTGTGTGACTCCAGGCAGAAGCTCCAGGAATGGCGTGAGAACAGGGGCATCTCCTACAAGCGTCCCCCCATGCCGGTGAGGCCTCCTCGGGTGCGGCGCACCGTGGCCCTCCCTCAGGCCTACTGGGACGGTATGGAGGAGGAAGTTGAGGCCAAGTCTCTGGTTGGAGTTGTGGACAGGTGCCTGGCTGACTGCATCAAACTGCTGATTGAGGTGTGGCGGAGGAATGGTTTCGGTCAGATTACACGCTTTGACATGAATTTAAAATGTATGACAAATCAACTGGGAGGTTGGTTGTTATCTTTATGAACCCTGTACAACGTTTGTTGGATTTGTCATAGAAGCAAACCAGTGTGTTTCCCACTGTTTTTCCAGTTACTGTTCTGCCTGTCTAAACTCTAGTCTAGACCATGTTCTGTGTAGCTCAGCTGGTAGAACATGACGCTTGCAACGGTTGTGTTTTCCATTTCCACAGGGGACCAGTGCGATCATATACAGTGGGGGAAAAAAGAATTTAGTCAGCCACCAATTGTGCAAGTTCTCCCACTTAAAAAGATGAGAGGCCTGTAATTTTCATCATAGGTACACGTCAACTATGACAGACAAAATTAGATTTTTTTTCTCCAGAAAATCACATTGTAGGATTTTTTATGAATTTATTTGCAAATTATGGTGGAAAATAAGTATTTGGTCAATAACAAAAGTTTCTCAATACTTTGTTATATACCCTTTGTTGGCAATGACACAGGTCAAATGTTTTCTGTAAGTCTTCACAAGGTTTTCACACACTGTTGCTGGTATTTTGGCCCATTCCTCCATGCAGATCTCCTCTAGAGCAGTGATGTTTTGGGGCTGTCGCTGGGCAACACAGACTTTCAACTCCCTCCAAAGATTTTCTATGGGGTTGAGATCTGGGGACACTCCAGGACCTTGAAATGCTTCTTACGAAGCCACTCCTTCGTTGCCCGGGCGGTGTGTTTGAGATCATTGTCATGCTGAAAGACCCAGCCACGTTTCATCTTTAATGCCCTTGCTGATGGAAGGAGGTTTTCACTCAAAATCTCACGATACATGGCCCCATTCATTCTTTCCTTTACACGGATCAGTTGTCCTGGTCCCTTTGCAGAAAAACAGCCCCAATGCATGATGTTTCCACCCCCATGCTTCACAGTAGGTATGGTGTTCTTTGGATGCAACTCAGCATTCTTTGTCCTCCAAACACGACGAGTTGAGTTTTTACCAAAAAGTTATATTTTGGTTTCATCTGACCATATGACATTCTCCCAATCCTCTTCTGGATCATCCAAATGCACTCTAGCAAACTTCAGACGGGCCTGGACATGTACTGGCTTCAGCAGAGGGACACGTCTGGCACTGCAGGATTTGAGTCCCTGTCGGCGTAGTGTGTTACTGATGGTAGGCTTTGTTACTTTGGTCCCAGCTCTCTGCAGGTCATTCACTAGGTCCCCCCGTGTGGTTCTGGGAGTTTTGCTCACCGTTCTTGTGATCATTTTGACCCCACGGGGTGAGATCTTGCGTGGAGCCCCAGATCGAGGGAGATTATCAGTGGTCTTGTATGTCTTCCATTTCCTAATAATTGCTCCCACAGTTGATTTCTTCAAACCAAGCTGCTTACCTATTGCAGATTCAGTCTTCCCAGCCTGGTGCAGGTCTACAATTTTGTTTCTGGTGTCCTTTGACAGCTCTTTGGTCTTGGCCATAGTGGAGTTTGGAGTGTGACTGTTTGAGGTTGTGGACAGGTGTCTTTTATACTGATAACAAGTTCAAACAGGTGCCATTAATACAGGTAACGAGTGGAGGACAGAGGAGCCTCTTAAAGAAGAAGTTACAGGTCTGTGAGAGCCAGAAATCTTGCTTGTTTGTAGGTGACCAAATACTTATTTTCCACCATAATTTGCAAATAAATTCATTAAAAATCCTACAATGTGATTTTCTGGATTTTTTTTCTCTATTTGTCTGTCATAGTTGACGTGTACCTATGATGGAAATTACAGGCCTCTCTCATCTTTTTAAGTGGGAGAACTTGCACAATTGGTGGCTGACTAAATACTTTTTTTCCCCCACTGTATGCACACACTACTGTAAGTCGCTCTGTATAAGTACATCCGCTAAATGACTAACATGGATCCATTCTGTGACATTCCTCTGAGACCGATGGGGTGGTGCGTTTCAGTGGAAGAGGCCAGCACAACAGCTGAATGACTAACATGAATCCATTCTGTGACATTCCTCTGAGACCGATGGGGTGGTGCGTTTCAGTGGAAGAGGCCAGCACAACAGCTGAATGACTAACATGAATCCATTCTGTGACATTCCTCTGAGACCGATGGGGTGGTGCGTTTTCAGTGGAAGAGGCCAGCACAACAGCTGAATGACTAACATGAATCCATTCTGTGACATTCCTCTGAGACCGATGGGGTGGTGCGTTTCAGTGGAAGAGGCCAGCACAACAGCTGAATGACTAACATGAATCCATTCTGTGACATTCCTCTGAGACCGATGGGGTGGTGCGTTTCAGTGGAAGAGGCCAGCACAACAGCTGAATGACTAACATGAATCCATTCTGTGACATTCCTCTGAGACCGATGGGGTGGTGCGTTTCAGTGGAAGAGGCCAGCACAACAGCTGAATGACTAACATGAATCCATTCTGTGACATTCCTCTGAGACCGATGGGGTGGTGCGTTTCAGTGGAAGAGGCCAGCACAGCAGCTGAATGAAGACCTAGCCCTTGCACAATCCGTTTTGGGGTTGCTTTGTGTGTCGTGTTTTTTTTCTTCTTCTGAAGACACAAATATTAATCTAACACACGGTCAGGTCAGATGATTGATGTAGTTTATATTATTTGGGGAATAATGTCCTAATAAAACGTACGGGGCTTTGGTCAAAAGTAGTGCACTATGTAGGGCAGTGGTTCTCTAACCTCTCCCTGGGGACCCACATATGTTTCACAATTTTGCCGTAGACAAATGTCTCACTTTGGTGATTCAGTGAATCAGGTGTGTTGAGTGAAGGCTTAAGAACCACTGATTGTAGAGTATCGGGTGTCCTTTGGGGTGCAGTTGCACTGCGAGAGCAAGACGTTTGGAGGAACACGTATATTGTTCCGTAGGTGGTATTCATTAGTGGTGCAACTCTTACAGTGTGTGTGTAAGACGTGTACAGTCGTGGTCAAAAGTTTAGAGAATGACACAAGTATTAGTATTCACAAAGTTAACTGCTTCAGTGTTATGAGATATTTTTGTCAGATGTTAATATGGTATGCTGAAGTATAATTACAAGCATTCCATACGTGTCAAAGGCTTTTATTGACAATTATATTAAGTTTATGCAAAGAGTCAATATTTGCAGTGTTGACCCTTCTTTTTCAAGACCTCTGCAATCCGCCCTGGCATGCTGTCAATTCACTTCTGGGCCACATCCTGACTGATTGCAGCCCATTCTTGCATAGTCGATGCTTGGAGTTTGTCAGAATCTGTGGGTTTTTGTTTGTCCACCCGCCTCTTGAGGATTGACCACAAGTTCTCAGTGGGATTAAGGTCTGGGGAGTTTCCTGGCCATGGACCCAAAATGTCGATGTTTTGTTCCCTGAGCCACTTAGTTATCACTTTTGCCTTATGGCAAGGTGCTCCATCATGCTGGAACAGGCATTGGTCATCACCAAACTGTTCTTGGATGGTTGGGAGAAGTTGCTCTCAGAGGATGTGTTGGTACCATTCTATATTCCTGGCTGTGTTCTTAGGCAAAATTGTGAGTGAGCCCACTCCCTTGGCTGAGAAGCAACCCCACACATGAATGGTCTCAGGATGCTTTACTGTTGGCATGACACAGGACTGATGGTAGCGCTCACCTTGTCTTCTCCGGACAAGGTGTTTTCCTGATGCCCCAAACAATCAAAGGGGATTCATCAGAGAAAATGACTTTACCCCAGTCCTCAGCAGTCCAATCCCTGTACCTTTTGAAGAATGTCAGTTTGCCCCTGATGTTTTTCCTGGAGAGAAGTGGCTTTTTTGCTGCCCTTCTTGACACCAGGCCATCCTCCAAAAGTCTTCGCCTCACTGTGCGTGCAGATGCACTCACACCTGCCTGCTGCCATTCCTGAGCAAGCTCTGCACTGGTGGTGCCCCGATCCCACAGCTGAATCAACTTTAGGAGACGGTCCTGGCGCTTGCTGAACTTTCTTGGGCGCCCTGATGCCGCCTTCACAACAATTGAACCTCTCTCCTTGAAGTTCTTGATGATCCGATAAATGGTTGATTTAGGTGCAATCTTACTAGCAGCAATATCCTTGCCTGTGAAGCCCTTTTTGTGCAAAGCAATGATGACGGCACATGTTTCATTGCAGGTAACCATGGTTAACAGAGGAAGAACAATGATTTCAAGCACCACCCTCCTTTTTAAAGCTGCCAGTCTGTTATTCTAACTCAATCAGCATGACAGAGTGATCTCCAGCCTTGTCCTCGTCAACACTCTCACCTGTGTTAATGAGAGAATCACTGACATGATGGCAGCTGGTCCTTTTGTGGCAGGGCTGTTTTTGGGGGATTAAGTTCATTTTCATAGCAAAGAGGGACTTTGCAATTAATTGCAATTCATCTGATCACTCTTCATGACATTCTGGAGTATATGCAAATTGCCGTCATCAAAACTGAGGCAGCAAACTTTGTGAAAATTAGTATTTGTGTCATTCTCAAAACTTTTGACCACGACTGTACGTGCATAACCTGTGGCTACTATTGTCACCGGATGAGGAAGGTCCCTTTGTTTTTTGTGTGTGAGGTGAGCTGTGGGATTAATTTCCCGTAGCAAGAAAATAATCCATACGGCTACATATCGGGATACGTAATATTTTTGCCCTAGTTTGCTATTCCTGCACCAAAACTTTCTTCATAGCATGTTCTCCATCTTTTTAAATAGGGAGCCCATTAATTTCCATTACTTATTTCCATTACTTATCAAAAGTTGTTTTCTCATGGCTCTCTTGTCACTCTGCAGCAGACATATGGTGAGCAATATGTTTGGAACATCGAATCGCAATAAAATCACAGTATCGAATGCAATACATATCGTATCGGCACCTACGTATCGTGATAATATCGTATCGTGAGGTCCCTGGCAATTCCCAGCCCTAGCAAGAATATAACTTCCCAAAGTTCACATGGAAGCAAGAAAAAGTATAATTTCACGTAGCAATTTTGAAGAGAGAAAGTTGTTTACGGTAATACGATGGGAAAGTGACTGCCCATTTTGTGCAATAATTATTTTCTGTTTTTTTTGGGGGGGGGGGTTTGTTGCTGCTTGAAGACCATTCAAAAAAAAGTTTAAGCAGATGTGGTCCCACTTCCCATGGTATTGTAGACTGACCATGGTTGTCACCCCTCTGTTGTCCAGTCTTTTAAACAGACGGATTTGTATGTTTTTTTTAAAATTATTATGCTAACTAGATTTCCACGGGGGTGCAGACATCGACTCGGGGTTAACATGACCACGGTTGTCACCCCTCTGCTCTCTGTTGTCCAGTCTATTAACATGACCTGTGGTCGCCCGTTTAAAAGTCACGATAATAATCTCCTCTCTCCTGAAGTGTGCAGTTATCACCATATTTGTGATACCTGTCATTTCCTTTCAAATCAGTGAAGCTGAAGTGAACACATGCACACTTTGGGAGGAAGCAGAGATAATTTGGACGTAGGCGAGATGTTCAACATCACTTATTTTGGGAGTTTGATCCGTTCCTACACACATGGTAAACCTCGAGACCAAACAGACGAGTTGGTTGACCCTCATCTTTCCAGCGTGGCCTGCCTGGCTGGCGGCCCCCTTTACTGTTACCAAATCCAACACTGCCAATTAACATAATATTTGTGTAATTTGTTAACAGTCTTAAAGATTTAGTAAAGAGACTTAAATGTCTCTCTTCTGTGTGTCTGACTGTTTCTGACTCTGTTTCTGACTGTTTCTGTGGCTCTGAGTGTTTCTGGCTCTGTTTCTGACTGTTTCTGTGGCTCTGAGTGTTTCTGGCTCTGTTTCTGACTGTTTCTGTGGCTCTGAGTGTTTCTGGCTCTGTTTCTGACTGTTTCTGTGGCTCTGAGTGTTTCTGGCTCTGTTTCTGACTGTTTCTGTGGCTCTGAGTGTTTCTGGCTCTGTTTCTGACTGTTTCTGTGGCTCTGAGTGTTTCTGGCTCTGTTTCTGACTGTTCTGGGCTCTGAGTGTTTCTGACTCTGTTCTGACTGTTTCTGGGCTCTGAGTGTTTCTGCTCTGTTTCTGACTGTTTCTGTGGCTCTGAGTGTTTCTGGCTCTGTTTCTGACTGTTTCTGTGGCTCTGAGTGTTTCTGGCTCTGTTTCTGACTGTTTCTGTGGCTCTGAGTGTTTCTGACTCTGTTTCTGACTGTTTCTGTGGCTCTGAGTGTTTCTGGCTCTGTTTCTGACTGTTTCTGTGGCTCTGAGTGTTTCTGGCTCTGTTTCTGACTGTTTCTGTGGCTCTGAGTGTTTCTGGCTCTGTTTCTGACTGTTGCTGTGGCTCTGAGTACGTTGCTTTGTCTCTGACTGACTCTGTTTCTGACTGTTTCTGTGGCTCTGAGTACGTTGCTGTGTCTCTGACTCACTGTGTTTCTGACTGTGTCTATCTGTGTGTTTTCTCTGTGCCTCCCCACAGGGCTGCCCGTCCTCCCAGGTGCAGGAGATGCTGTCCACTGTGCCCATGGCTGAGAAGTTCTCCAAGTACTGGATCTGCCAGGCCCGTCTGATGGAGCGCCAGGGCAACCTGGATGTGCTGCCCCTGTTTGAAGAGGCAGTACGCGTGGTGTTAGAGGTATAACATACTCCTTTTACCTTCTCTCTCTACCTCCATCCCTACGACTCTGTCTCTCTCTACCTCCATCCCTACGACTCTGTCTCTCTCTACCTCCATCCCTACGACTCTGTCTCTCTCTACCTCCATCCCTACAACTCTCTCTTTCTCTACCTCCATCCCTACGACTCTCTCTTTCTCTACCTCCATCCCTACGACTCTCTCTTTCTCTACCTCCATCCCTACGACTCTGTCTCTCTCTACCTCCATCCCTACGACTCTCTCTCTCTCTACCTCCATCCCTACGACTCTCTCTCTCTACCTCCATCCCTACGACTCGGTCTCTTTCACTCACTCATATATTAGACCTCTGAAGAATTCTCTAAACAAAATTAGAGTTCCCTCCCTTGGTATCTATTTCATTTAAACTAGTAATATGATGGTTTGGTATCTATTTCCTCTCTCCATTCTCTCATTTAGCCAGTGGATGAGCTGCGGACTGTTGTGTTTGAGATGCTGAAAAAGAAGGAAGAGAGACAAGGTAATGAGGAAACTATAAAGACAGCAACATCCTGTCTCCTTGCCTCTTCCTCAAAAGGTATTGGAGAAGAAGGTCAGAGGGGAGGGACCTTGGACCTTCTCCTCCAATACGGTTGAAAAGGAAGTGAGGTAAGACCAATTGAGATAGAAATTTGAACCAGTCTGAGTTTGATTCCCCATCTGAACTTCATGCCTCTACAAGGTCCATCTCACTAATGTGGCAGTTTTTACACTTGTTTAGGATACTTTGTTGTTCCTGCCAAAACCAGCACCTAGATCTAGGTAGACACACTGCTGTGTCCATGGTTTTCTCTTTCTGCTGTCCGTACCAGGGTCACGCATGTTGAAAATGTTCAAATCAGTTTGTATTTGCTATTATTGGAAAGATTGAGTAAAGATTATTTCCACTGTAGAGATTGTGGAAAGAATCCAACCCAGAGGCTCAAATCCCAAAATAATGTATTATGGTTATTGCCATGCTGCTTCCATTTGTTGCGTCAGTTCCAATATTTTCATCATATTTGAATCATATTGTCGTCATGGCTTTTGACTGCTAAGTAATTTGCCAGACGTGCAGTGAGTAGTTGGGTTTCATATTACTGAACATCTGCTGAAAGCCCTCTGACATTGGATTTCACAACAAAGCAGATGAAGGTTTCTGACTCATATTACCAGTTACTAGTGATTAATATAATGTAATACGCATTGAGAGTGGATATGCATGGATGTGGAGACAGGTTTTGGAGACAGGTATTTTTTTTTTAGGGTGTAGATCAGCTTTAATATTGCAGATAGGTTGTAACTTCCATCAATGTAATTGTCTGTATCACTTCCAATCCCCCATTTTTTTATTTTTTTTTCCTCGTATGGGCTTCCAAGTGGCGCAGCGGTCTGAGGCACTGCATCTCAGTGCTTGAGGCGTCACTACAGACCTCCTGGTTCGATTCCAGGCTGTATCACAACCGGCCGTGATTGGGAGTCCCATAGGGCAGCGCACAATTGGCCCAGCGTCGTCCGGGTTTGGCCGGTATAGGCCGTCATTGTAACTAAGAATTTGTTCTTAACTGACTTGCCTAGTTAAATAAAGGTTAAATAAAATAAAGATATACATACATTCATATACACATGCATAATCACATCCTTTAAAAAAATATATTTCCCTTTATTACTTTCCAACCCCTTCCCTAATTGGAGTAAACTAGTGAACAACAATGCTTAGGCCTCTACTTCCAGCTTATACATACTATATACATTTTATGGACACAGTCAATTTGACAATTCTATTTTGTTTGTTTTTACTCCTGAACTTCCTCAACCTCTCATTTTCATGATGTCCATCCGGTTTGCTTCTTTATGCCATATCTTTCTAACTGTGCTCTTTCACAAAAGCTCTCAACCTATAATCTATATACTTATTATGGACACAGTATGATTACATTATTAGTTATCTTGTTGTTGTTGGTAGTTGTTATTAGTCCCATCCTTCAGCTCCATTCAACACCACCCATCTATCTCTTAACACCATCCTTATTGGATTTTTATTTGCCATATATTTTTTGTCTGGTCGTCACTAGTAACCACAGCAACAAAGTCATAAACTCCACCTATTTCTATAATGTATCTTCTTAAAATCTGATGTTAAACCTAACCTTAACCACACTGCTAACCTTATACCTAACCTTACATTTGAGTTCTCCCAAATTGTTACGATATAGCCAATCTACAAGTTTGTGGCTGTGGTAACTAGTGGAAGGGCCGCACACTATTTTTATGCTCCTAATTCACAGTTTGTCAATAAAGCGGTTTGTCATAAACAGGATGTGGGCTTTCATGCCTCCCACAGTGTCCCAATGTTCCAGCGTACAGGTATGTACCTGCATCAGTTGGGACAGGTTCTGACTAGAAAGACAAAGGGGGGTACAAAGTCAGTTGCACAACTGTCGTATCGGGTGAATGGTGGCCATTATCGCTGTCAACAAAGAGTCTGTTCAAGCTGCATCGTGTTAGAGGCTTTTATTAAAATCACGAGGTTACAGCATAAGTACAGACCCGCGGTGTCCGGAGAACGGCTCCTCAGATTGCCATGGCCGTTCTGCCCTTTCTGTAGTCTAGCCCCTATTTATAAACAATGATCTGTCTGTTGTACGTGACGTTACACTAAAACATATACTAACATAAAGAACATTCCATTTCTTCATGAAAAACATTTAACAAAGACATAATCTTCATATACGATACAACTGAATGCATTCCACCAAAACGCGTCTTCCGCATTCATCCCAATTGGGAGAGCAAACCTGGTGGCCAACTACAAGAAACGTCTGACCTCTGATTGCCAACAAGGGTTTTTCCACCAAGTACTAAGTCATGTTTTGCAGAGGGGTCAAATACTTATTTCCCTCATTTAAAATGCAAATCAATTTATAACATTTTTGACATGCGTTTTTCTGGATTTTTTTGTTGTTATTCTGACTCTCACTGTTCAAATAAACCTACCATTAAAATGTATAGACTGATCATTTCTTTGTCAGTGGGCAAACGTACAAAATAAGCAGGGGATCAAATACTTTTTTCCCTCACTGTAGTAGTAGTAGTAGTGTCATGAATGGATTTACTACACCAGAACATTCTGATATCCTGAAGAGATGGGTGGATATATTTGAATTGGGACCAGTAAACGGCGATGCACTTCAATGGATGCCATTTAGCAGTATGTGCACACTTCTCAGCAGTTGACTATAACAACATTGTTATTATTCCTACTACTTCCAGGTCAGTCTCCCATAGCATCGGCGCAGGAGCCTGTGAGTGAGGAGGATGATGTTTTGGAGCTCGACTCTACACCAGACCCCATGGCCACACCCACAGCTGTCAAAGCCCTGATCCGTGGTGACCGAGGAGGCTCGTCTGTGGTCAAGTACAAGATCACCGCCACACCAGGGTACTCTATGACCTCTGACCTGACTGCCTATGGCCTCTTCCTCCTGTTTGACCTTTCTATGATCCGGTGACCGTCAGCCATTTTTTAAAGCTACAACCTGATATTTGAAAAACAACAAAAAGGCAGCCCCGCTACTTGTTTAGAAATACAGTCATTTTAAGTTAAGCAGAGACTTGCATCTGTATCTCCAGTCTGTCAGGTCCCTGCCTGGCGTTAACCCCTTACACTAAGTAGAAATTGACCTACATTGCCTTCGGAAATTATTCAGACCTCTTGACTTTTTCCACATTTCGTTACATTATAGCCTTATTCTAAAATTGATTAAATTGTTTTTTCCCCCCTCATCAATCTACACACACTACCCCATAATGACAAAGCAAAAACAGGTTTATTGAAATATATGCACATTTTATTTTTAAACCCCAGAAATATCACATTTACATAATTATTCAGACCCTTTACTCAGTACTTTGTTGAAGCACCTTTGACAGTGATTACAGCCTTGAGTCTTCTTGGGTATGACGCTACAAGCTTGGCACACCTGTATTTGGGGAGTTTCTCCCATTCTTCCCTGCAGATCCTCTCAAGCTCTGTCAGGTTGGATGGGGAGCGTAGCTGCACAGCTATTTTCAGGTATCTCCAGAGATGTTCAAGTCTGGGCTCTGGCTGGGCTACTTATGGACATTCAGAGACTTGTCCCAAAGCCACTGCTGTGTTGTCTTGGCTGTGTGCTTAAGGTTGTTGTCCTGTTGGAAGGTGAACCTTCGCCCCAGTCTGAAGTCCTGAGTGCTCTGGAACAGGTCTTCATCAAGGATCTCTCTGTACTTTGCTCCGTTCATCTTTCCCTCGATCCTGACTAATCTCCCAGTCCCTGTCGCTGAAAAACATCCCCACAGCATGATGCTGCCACCACCATGCTTCACCGTAGGGATGGTGCCAGGTTTCCTCCAGACGTGACGCTTGGCATTCAGGCCAAAGAGTTTAATCTCTGTTTCATCAGACCAGAGAATCTTGTTTCTCATGGTCTGAGAGTCCTTTAGCTGCCTTTTGGCAAACTCCAAGCTGGCTCACTGACCAAGGCCCTTCTCCCCCATTGCTCAGTTTGGCCGGGCAACCAGCTCTAGGAAGAGTCTTGGTGGTTCCAAACTTCTTCCATTTAAGAATGATGGAAGCCACTGTGTTCTTGGGGACCTTTAATGCTGCCAAATCTGTGCCTCGACACAATCCTGTCTCGGAGCTCTACAGACAATTCCTTCAACCTCATTGCTTGGTTTTTGCTCTGACATGCACTGTCAACTGTGGGACCTTTATATAGTCAGGTGTGTGCCTTTCCAAATCATGTCCAATCAATTTAATTGACCACAGGTGGACTCTAATCAAGTTGTAGAAACATCTCAAGGATGATCAATGGAAACAGGATGCACCTGAGCTCAATTTCGAGTCTTATATCAAAGGGTCTGAATACTTATCTAAATAAGGTATTTGTGTTCTTTAATTTTGTACATTTGGAGAAAAAAAATTTAAACCTGTTTTCGCTTTGTCATTATTGGGTATTGTGTGTAGATTGAGGAAAACTGAAATGAATCCATTTTTGAATAAGACTGTAAGATCTAACAGACTGAATCCAAACATTACAATGTTGATTTTATGTGCATTTTACATTTACTGTATTTTTCTCCGCATTTGTTAACAAAAAATACCCTGGATACATTTAGTAACATAATAAGAATATTCATGGCAAATATGGGGTAGGTGGAACATAAGACACAAATTACAAGGATTTATTTCAAGTCTCTAAACTCAACAATGCAGTTAACAATATAATACAACAAAATAAGGTAGAACAAAAACAGATGAGAAATAAGAAGAAAATAACATAAGTGAGCATACTAATATATATGGTCAGTCAGTTCCGGTACTATATTTACAATGTGCAGGGATACTTGAGTGATGGAGGTATACACTGAGTGTACAAATCATTAAGAACACCTTTCTAATATTGAGTTGCACCCCACCCTTTTGCCCTCAGAACAGCCTAAATTCGTCAGGGCATGGACTCTACAAGGTGTCAAGCGTTCCACAGGGATGCTAGCCCATGTTGATGCCAATGCTTCCCACCGTTGGTGTCAACGGTGTTGGACCATTCTTGATACACGTGGGGAAACTGTTGAGCGTGAAAAACCAGCAGCGTTGCAGTTGACACAAACTGGTGCGCCTGGCACCTACTACCATACCCTGTTCAAAGGCACTTCAATGTTTTGTCTTTCCCATTCACCCCCTGAATGGCACACATACACAATCCGTCTCAATTGTCTACAGGCTTAAAATCCTGTCTCCTCCCATTCATCTACACAGATTTAATGGATTTAACAGGTGACATCAATAAGGGATCATAGTAGAGGTCTGCACTTTTTTCACCCAGCCTGGCAGTCTTGCAGCTCGAGGTGGGATAGGGTATATAGGATTCATAGTTCTTTGACTTTGTGTGATTTAATTTATCAGCTATGAAACAAAACAGCAGAATTACTTTGAAAACAGCTACTGCAGCATTTGTTTTACTATAAATGTGACTACTAAACTATTTCTATTCACAAATGCGAGTGAAATGCTCACACTGTGGAGCCCTTACCATATATATATTTTTAATGGTGCACAAGACACGGGTCTGATTCGCCCATGACTAAGTGGACTAATCCATTGCGGAGGCCACGGGGATGGCGCACAGTCCATCACTCTAAGACGTGATACTGAAATTGTTTATGGTAATATTATGTAAAAATCATGGTGTAACACTAATGTATCTAATATTATTTTATAACAAATACGCTTTCTCCCACGATGGATATGGTCGCTGTCTGCGGTTCTGAAACATAATCTTCAGTGCGCCATAGAGTTGGCGCCTTTCCTCATGTTGCTATGTGCATAATAGCAAAATTAACCAGCATATTGGGATTGAGAACAATAGTCCGGAGGCAGCAGCAGCAGAGACGAGGAAACAGCCGTTGCCTTAAAAGCCCTATTCGGACGGGATTAGTTTTATTGGGGGTGGTCGGGTGATTTTTAATTATTTGCACAAGCAGAGAACACCACATCTGTCATTCTAGTCCCGTCCGAATCTGTAATGTCAGTCATTTGTGCAGGGCAGGATAGTTAACAATTCCAGCCAGAATAACCTACTGTTGTTTTGGCAAACTCAAAGGTCCTCTGATAATACTAGTCCCGTGCGAATCAACATCCTTGTGTTTTGAGATAAATGTCTGAGTATGACAGGTGTTGCTCACGGTTTTCAGCAAGAAAGCAATAACTGATTCGATAAATTGAACGAAGTGCTGCACATAGTCTATACTGTACCCCTTGCTGTTAATAGATCACAAAGCAGCATACAACTTACATAAACGTTTGGAAATGATAAGTTCACTTTCGCATCCATAACCTTAAAATGCATCTCAAGTGCAATGTTTAGCTCACATCTGAAGGCTGGGGGTAACTTAGGACGTCTACTGCGGATCGCTAAAATATCGTCATGATTATGATCACAATTCAAATATAATGACGACACTATACCTAATATGATTTGGTATGGTTTAGAAACTTGGGAACCTTGCTCGAGTTATCAGTGTAGCCCTGTTAACGTCTGGACTTATAATGGAAATATCTATAAGGCAAAAAGTCGTAACTGTCAATTCTTTGGGAAGAAAATAATTACACGGGGCAGTTTGCGCTAAAATATCGTAATGATTATGATCACAATTCAAATATAATGGCGACACTATACCTAATATGATTTGGTATGGTTTAGAAACTTGGGAACCTTGCTCGAGTTATCAGTGTAGCCCTGTTAACGTCTGGACTTATAATGGAAATATCTATACGGCAAAAAGTCGTAACTGTCAATTTTTTGGGAAGAAAATAATTACACAGACATTCTGGGGTAATAATTACATAACCAATGTTTTGTAGTAATAGTAGTCCCATGTGAATAGGGCTTAGCCTAGTTGTCTAAGAAAGTTGAGCGGGAAAACCCCAAAAATAATGAGGTCTATAATCAATCAATAGCCTAACGGTTAAATGTGCCTGGCTATACAAATCATCCATATATATCTACAGAAATAAGACACATCTTGCTTCTGTTGCCTGTTTGAGTGTTTTGCAACTGCAAAATGTCAGATAAAGCACTTTTCACAGGTTTGGCTGTTTTTAATCTTTGCTATGGAGTAATAACAGCTTTACAAAAACTGTTTCGTTAGAACAGACTGGTATTACTTATACTTGCAAACATGCAGAAAAATATGATTGTAATCTAACACCACCTGTTTGTCACACATAATATGCATGCAGCTCTCGCTCCTATACCCTCCTTTCTCTTGATCTCCTTATTGTTATTATTAGTTATTATTATGATCATTATAATAATAAGTCATGTCGTTATCATTAGTAGGCTTTGTATAGTAGCCTTGTATAACCACCATCAAGCTGTAGGCCTAAGAGCGCGTCCTGTTTAGTCTTAATACCTTAACTAACTTAGGTCAATATCTCAATATATAGGCTACTGTATCAATCATTCATTCGTTCATGCCATCACACAACATATGTGACATTAATGCTTTGAAATGTAATTAAGCATTTTAGTTTTTTAATTAAATAACACAGGGAGCTTAGAATAATTAGCCTAAACGATAAATAAACTGCAATTCACGAATGCATTAATCTGTTTTTAGTCTGCTGTAATAAATTGTTTCTTTTTTTTCTTTAGAACAGACTCTCTGGTACACTTACTTAGTGTTTACACTGTTCCAAATGGTCAGAAAAGGTTATAATATTGTAATCTAACAGCAACTGTTTGGCACACACGATACTCACGCAACACTTGCTCCTAAACCCTCCTTTTTCTTGAACTCCAGTAGCTTCCAAAACTAAGTCAAATGTCTTCCACAGATCTGACTTCCCCTTTCCCTCCTGAGCAACCAGTAAACATTCACCCGTTTTAGAGTTTCTTTTTTATGTCCTCCACATCCATTTTTCTGTTGACATTACTGTGTTCAAAGTTTGTTATAACCATTTTATTGATTATGATAGGGCAGGCCCTATTGGTCAGTAGGGAGGAGAGCGAGACAACGTGTGCCAGTCACTCGCTGTCATTGTTTTTAACAGTGTGGCCATCAGGCTCTCTCTTTAGTCATTTGTGTCTTTATTTATTTCATCATGTTCCGTATTCCCATCAATCACCTTGTCTATGTTCTGATTGGCACCCTATTCCCTATATTAGGGCTGGCCCCAACTAACACAAATCTTGGTTGACCGAAAGTTGTCTGTTCTTTCAACTAATCGAGGGCGCCAGAGATCTATAAAAAAACCTTAACCTGACCCAATTATTCTCCTCCAGCTCCTGCTGGCTTTCGCAGATTCTGCCATTACTCTCCTGAAGTTCCCAGTAATAGGCTTCACTAGGAGTCGGCAACCTTTCTCATGTGGAATGCCAATTTATCTTACCCTTTCTACCGATCTGCGTGCCAGTTATGGTTTTCATATGCACATTTTCATGAAACAGTTTCATTTAATTTATAATGTCTTCATATCTCAAAATCATTGTAATGTGTCTAATCAAAATTCTATCCAAATCTAAATGAAAATGATACGAACCTAAAAAGTGACTTATATTGCCATTGCCAACTATGTAAAAAATAGCCTACATAAAGCCAACAAATAATATTGCAGCCTAAAGGTAGAAAATATCCTGATTTTAAAAACAAATCTCCTATAAATCACATTGGCTACACGGTCGACCAACAGCTTAACGACCAACCAGTCGAATAATTGGGGTCAGCCCTACCCTATATAGTGCACTACTGTTGACCAGAGCTGCCATTAATGACCCATCACCATGTGTAGTTAACGTGTGTCTGGGCTTGTAGCCCATCACTATGTGTATGTACTGTAAACTGTTCTCTTTGATCTCTCCCACCCGCAGTGGCTTCAGGAGCCAGCAGAGAGAGGCGACGTTGGCCCGCATGGTGGATGGACAGGAGCTGAGGTTCTTCACCCCCGTCAGGCGCTCGGTGAGGATCGAGAGGTCTGTGCTCCTCTACCCCGCCTCCCTGCAGGAGCACGACCACTGTGTGGCCTCCTTCAATGACCTGATGGCCCAGGAGGATGAGAGAGAGGGGGAAGGAGGGAGGGAGGGAGACGGAGAGGGGGGAGGCAGCGCCGGGCCCATCCCCAACGACCATCTGTACGTTTACAGAGAGAACGAGGCTCTGAGAGACAAGGTCAACATCCAGCTGGTCTACGCTGAGGAAGAAGACTAAAGGACTGTGTCCTCCTAGTAGTTTAAAGTGGTTTCCTCCTGCTTTACCCTGATCTAATAGTACAGGATGATCTCATTCACCATCTGGGAATGTAGCTTTCACCTGTACAGTTGTATGTCCTTCAGTACAGAGTCACATTCCTTAGTAGAAAGCCGTAGTAAAACAAAAGGTTCTGAAACACACCTGGGGAGATGGGTTTGTCAATCTAGACTTTTCTGTACAGAATCCTGCAGGAAGAACCTGTCTATCCAATACTCATTTGTAACTGTCAAACCAAAAGCATCCATTTACTTTTTAGATTGAATAGTGTTTTTTAATGCAAACTGTGGTTAAGGTTTTTATTTTTTAGATTGTACAAACTAGCTTGGTTTTGTTGAAAAACAAAAAGAATGTGTTGGTATTTTAGATGCATGAATGATGTACATATTTATGTATAATAAATAATCTACTTTGGTAATTTTGGAGTGTCATTAGTTTTATAAGTAAAAGCATTTAATTAGTCCTAACCAGACTAAGTGTCAAAATATGGAAATCAATGAAGTAGATGTGCTTATGCAAACAGAATGAATAATGGGGGATTAGTGAGTTCTCACAAACTAACACATGCACTTTACATTCCAAGGTTAAATACAGAGCTGATACATTTAGGACACACTGAATACATCATATTCCAGATTCAGTTTTAGCCATGAATGTCATCCAAGAAGATGGATGAATCATACTTGTGTGTTGCTACCGTTTGTGTTTCTACTGTTTGACTCTAACCCAAGACAAGGCCCCAGGGGTTGTCTACATACTGTACTTTTCATGACAAACTTTGATTTCAGTATGAGGTCACCGTCCCATCCAACCACATCAAATATACTTGGGAGGCTCGCTATAGGTTCAATATGAGTATGATGCAGGTTTGACGTGTTACGAGCAATACTCACCAATGTGGGCGCGGTTTAAGTAGGAATGCTGACGCTTTCCGGGCTGCGCTCAATCTTATATTTGTGGGGGGCGCGGTGAGCGTGCAGACATTGCAGACCCTGCGACCAAGAAAGCACAACAGCATTGCATCACGGACTTCTACAACTCAGCATTCACAAGAAGAGGCAACGGAGAAGGTATGTCAATTCCTCTTTCACCAACTTATTTTTTAATAAGTGTGTTTTATTCCTTTAGAATGATTTGTTTTCATTCTACAGAATGTGATATTTGCAGCATAGCATAGTCCTGTTTTGGACCACAGGAATCCTAATAATAATAATATGCCATTTAGCAGACGCTTTTATCCAAACCGACTTACAGTCATGCGTGCATACATTTTTGTGTATGGGGTGGTCCCGGGGATCGAACCCACTACCTTGGCGTTACAAGCGCCGTGCTCTACCAGCTTTTTAGAGGTATTTTTTAAATTAATTATTTTATTCAATGGATTGGATTCATTGCCATTTGTGTAAATTAAGAATTGTGTTACTAAATCATGTACGTTTATAAAGATCATGAAATGTAAAGGTACAATATGCAATATTTCCTGCTGTTTAGAGTTATTTTAATGATATAGTTTACACATTTATTGCTGAAGAATACAACTTGGTTGGGTCGTTCCACCAATTCGGTGCCTTTTGAGAAGTGTAACTTGGTCAAATTAGGATTTAGATTTCACCTAATTTTAACATTCTGTCATAAAGAGCACATGTTCAACGGTGGAATGGTGGAATGGAAGCCTGTTGTGTGCAACAGCGAGGGAAAATTGAATGCAAGCTTCGCAAAAAGAATGCTGCATACATTATTTGCTCAAGGTGTGGAAAATGCTGAACCCAATGGACTTTTTATGGTTTAATAGACCAACAATAGACCATAGAGAATGATAGACCTCTAGTGCCAAAATGATAGGTTAGCGTGGGCAGCACCATTGAGGGCTTCCACCATTTTTATGTAGTCAACTGGGTGGGACTTCCAACTTCATTGGCTGATCCCTGCTGGTGGCCCTGTTGGAGTCATGTCCAACTGGGTCATCAGGAGGAATCAGCCAATCGTGAAGAAGAAAATTAACTACTTCAAAATGGAGATTGCCTCATTGATGCTGCCCATGCTGTCACAGACACTATAATGACACATGGAGTCCTCTATCTATCTCTATGCAATAGGCCCAGTGGATGCTGGTGGGAGAAGCTATAGGAGGACGGCTCATTGTAATGGCTGGATTGGAACAGAGTCAAACATGGTTTCCATATGTTTGATGTATTTTATTCCATTCCAGCCATTACAATGAGCCTGTCAGCCTATAGCTCCACTGAGACAGACATATGTTGAAGTGTCCTGGGGTAAGGAATGTTTTTTTTTTATACTTTGGCTTATCAGTTCCTTCTCCAGGTGTTCCAGGACCCGTGTCAACACATTAATCAAGGTTATCGACTCTGGATCAGAGTAGACCATATATTAGACATTTGAAAGTGCCTATAACTCCTGAGTGGTGCAGTGGTCTAAGGCACTGCATCGCAGTGCTAACTGTGCCACTAGAGATCCTGGTTCGAATCCAGGCTCTGTCGCAGCCGGCCGCGACCGGGAGACTCATGGGCGGCGCACAATTGGCCCAGCGTCGTCCAGGGTAGGGGAGGTAATGGCCGGCAGGGATGTAGCTCAGTTGATAGAGCTTGGCGTTTGCAACGCCAGGGTTGTGGGTTCGATTCCCACGGGGGGCTAATATAAAAAATAATAAAATATATTCACTAACTGTAAGTCGCTCTGGATAAGAGCGTCTGCTAAATGACTAAAATGTAAATGTAATGTAAATAACTGGGTTACAGCTATTGGCCTAAGCCAAATAATGAGCTACTTGGGTAACACGCTAATTTAAAGTGTTGAGAGTGTGGTTTGTAATGCTTCTGTGGTTTGGGTAATACAAGAGCTTGGTGAGAGTGTGGTTGACCTGTGGTTATTTTGCATACAACCTTCCCACAACTTTCTGGAAATGGTGCAGGATGGTTGCTTGGCTTTGGCAAGTTTAAGGAACTTGACAAAAAACGTTGTTTTCTTGGTATATCAATACTTTAAGAGAACATTTCTTAAAAGTTTGAACATGGTTACATTTACAGTGCCTATAGAAAGTCTACACCCCCAAGATTTTTTATAAAACATTTTGTTGCATTACAAAGTGGGATTGAAATTGATTCCGGTGGGCTTTCCCGCTTCGACAAAACAAAGGAAAGGAGTGGTGCTCAACAACAAAATGACTAATTCGAGGTAAAAAGGAGTTGGAACACAACAAAAACAAGGAAGAGATTGGGGTCTTTTTGCTCACGTTAATTCATTGTACAGGATGTGAACAGGTGACTGACGTCTTCCTCAGAGTGACCTGACCATTGCGCTTAGTTCCTATTTATAGCCTAGTGGCCCATTGTGAGGCAACAATGTAAATAAATATATAATTATAATATGTTTCAAGGTAAATGGCAAATTATAGCACAACATAATAAGATAAATTGTGTGTCTCGTTAATCAACAGGCCATGTCAAAATATACATAGGTGATATTTGGGTGTCTGTGATAACGAAGACACAGAAACCCAATAAACCAATGCAACAACATTATAAAAACGAGGACAGTGAAAAATCATAATTTAGCCCCTTTGGATCCACAGTGTCTAAGGTGTACTGCCAGAATGCCTCTCTTTGTTTTAGTTTACGTAGGATCAGTGGCGACCCGTCATTCAGGGATGGTGGAGCAGAGCCCCACCTGTTTTGAGCCCATCTTAATATTTTCTTATTATTGACCAGTCTAAGATATGGCTTTTTCTTTGCAACTCTGCCTAGAAGGTCAGCATCCCGGAGTCGCCTCTTCACTGTTGATGTTGAGACTGGTGTTTTGCGGGTACCAATTGCCATTGGGCGGGCCTGAGAGCCAAGTCTCACGCTTCTTGAGTAGCTGCATGCTGTGTGTAACGGAATCGGCTAGATTGCGCGCACGGCGAAAACAAATGCGAGGGGGCAATGTTGTGAACTCTCGTAGATTTGGATCACTTTTGAGGATCTTCCAGTGTTTCAATACTATGGATTTGACGCGACCGGAACATGGGCTGTACTCCGTGGAAAAACACATACGAGGGGGCGTTTTGTCCTGGTTTCTATTAGTGCCAGTGGGTAGGCTTCGACGTTCGGTCTCTCTAGCACGGGTATAGGCCTGTTCAATGACACTTATCATCCCCGCGTTGCAGGGACCTGGTGCTCATATCATTAGCCTTGCGCTCTAGATCTATGTCTGTACTGCAGTTACGTCGGAGTCTTAGGAATTGACCCACCGGTAAATTCTGCTTAAGGTGTACCGGGTACTTACCGTCTGCGTGTAAAAGTGTATTCCTACTCTGCGGTTTGCGGAAGATAATAGACTCCAACTTGTTTTCTTTATTTTTGTGGATTGTCAGATCCAAGAAGTATATTTTCTCCCGATTTCTCTTTGCTGTGAATTTGAGATTGGAATCAGATAAATGAATAGCCTATAAGAAATGAACTCTGAGAGGAGAGCGTCAGTACCGTTCCATGCCAGTAGAATGTCGTCTATATCTTTTCCAAAGGGCGACATTCTGGAAATATGGGTTTTTCTGGACTTTATAAATGAAGGTCTCATCCCTGTGTCCCATAAATCAATTCGCATAGTTAGGAGCGAATGCAGCTACCATCGCTGTACCCCGCATATGTTCGTAGAATCTGCCCTCATATTGGAAGTAATTTGGCCTTTTTCAGTGAGAGACAGAATCAAGTTAGACGGAGGTAAGATACCCTGCTGTCAAGTGTTAAGATAACGAGAGAGCGCTCATAGGCCTGCGCCATGTGGGATATTAGTATAGAGAGACTGAAGGTCAATTGTTAAATGCTTTCGGTGTCGCATCTGTAGTTATTGATGATCCCTGTTATCTCCTAAAAAGGCTGGCAATACTGGCACGAATTTAGAGATGAAGAAATCAACATACTGAGATAGGGGTTCAATAGGGCTACTGTTACCTGAGGTTTATCCATACTTTTATACATTTTCGGTAAGCCACTGACTTTCTCCGTTTCCGTTATCCAACCCTCTAAAAGAGCGTTATCAATGAAACTTTCTACGCCAAGGTAGTGGGTTCGATCCACGGGACCACCCATACACAAAAAATGTATGCACGCATGACTGTAAGTCGCTTTGTATAAAAGCGTCTGCTAAATGGCATATTATTATTATTATTATTATTATATCCTCTCTCTGGGGTTGGAACGGAGAGGGACATAGCACTTAGCACGTGTCAGAGACTTGAGCATAGACCTCACTATCATATTGTTCCCTGCTTAATACCACAATAGACCCTCCCTTATAAAATGTTTTTATCACAATATTTGGAATGTCTTTCAGTTATTTCAAAGCATTTTGTTCATAATTACTGAGATCAGCTGAGATCAGCTGCTTGT